CAGCGAAGAAGTACAAACAGCGCGGAATAGAGCTGGAATTTGAAGAGAAACTGTACATAATGTTTAAATGGGTTGTCGCAACGAGAAAGTTTTCGTTCAACCCTACTGAAAGAGGTTTTACAGGGATACCATATGAGATCACACCTGAGCCATTGACACCCGATGAAGAAGTGCATAACATTAACCAGAGGGATATGAGGGAGTCCAGTACAATTTTAAAGAGGCCAAGGATTGCTAAGAAAAATAAAGAGAAGGAACATTCTGTGAACACCTATTTGATCGTTTAATTGAAGATTTTGCAGCTCCACCAATGTCTGATTCAAACATATTAAACTGTCTCAGGCTTTTGGGCACTATTCCTGAAGTTGTGGGCGACAAACGATTTCACGTACAGTGTGTGAAAAAATTTATGGATTCAACTCGAATGAAAATATTCATGGCGCTAGAGCCTGAATTGCGTCTCGAATATTTGCAGGTTTTAGTCGAGGAATGATAAATTTTTTGTATTGTATATGTATTTGTTGCAGTAATATGAACTTTTACTTCTGTCAAATTTTTTTAAATATTTGGAACTTCTAATCATGTTATCGTTTTTTAATATGTTTGTACCTTCTACATATGTACCTGTTAGTGATTGATGCTTTCTTTATGTTCTGTATTATATGTTCTGAATTTGAACAATTAATATTTGGTAGTGTTGTAGTAATATCTTATTATGCACTAATTATGTTTACATCTTATATCATTTAGGATGGATCCACAACGTGTGCGTCGTAGGTGCGTGGATGGATCCACAACGTGTGCGTCGTAGGAGAATGACATTTGCTGCAGTCATTAAGATATTGTTGTTGGATTATTACTGGAATAACACTGCTCGCATTCCCCGCTTGACATCCAGCTTTGTTGGAGACAAATGAGTTGGTGAAATGTTTTCTGGCCATCAAATAAGGTTTAAAAATATTTTCAGAATGACAGCACTAATTTTTATGGATCTTTTGCACGAGTTATGCCTAAATCATGGCCTCTAGGGTTCTTCCAGAATGACGTGTAGGGTGGTGTTGGCTATAACACTGTACATTCTATCACAAAATAAATCGATTAGAGTAGTTATGGAAAGATTTCAGTATTCTTCTGAAACAATAAGTCATTACTTTTCTAAAGGCACACATGCTCTTGTTAGCTTAGCAGCTAAAATAATTAAACCGGATGATCCATCATTTGCTACCACTCCAGAACAAATTGTCAGCGATCCTCGATACATGCCATATTTCAAGGTAACTATGAGTGGTTTTATTTTATTACTTGTCATACGATTCATAATATTATTACTCTCTAACAAATAATTAAATATAATTGTATTGATGCAATTGACGGTACCCACATTGATGCCCGACTACCCAACCACGAGAATCTTGCATGCATTGATCCATGGAGAGTGTTTTACTTTTGTAGTGGCGGGCTGGGAAGGGAGTGCACATGACAGTCGGATTTTCTCATTTGCCACTAGGAATGGATCGCAGTGTTTCCCTCCCCCCCATCAGGTTAATTTTGCTTTGCAGTTTGTTTATCTGAGTATGTAATCTTTTTAATTAATAGTGTTTTTCGTATTAGGAAAATATTATCTGGTTGATGCAGGGTATCCTATGCAAAGGGGATACTTGAAGCCCTATCCTGACACAATATATCATCTTCCTGATTTTGAGAGAGCAAATGACACCGTCCGTGGCAGAAAGAAAATGTTTAATAAACGCCACACATCTTTACGCGGGGTAATTGAAAGAACATTTGGGGTTTGGAAGAAGAAATGGGTCATCCTATGTGATATGTCGTCGTATCCTTTCCAAAAGCATGTGCATATTATGGTTGCAACAATGACACTACATAACTTCATCCGAAGACATTCCTCACGATCAGATACAAACTTTAGTATGACTGACAATGACGAACTGAATGTCTTCGAGCAAACTCCTGGAATTGTGGGTGAGAATTCATTACCTGAGGATGATGTAGACTCTAATGAATTTGAAGATAAGGAAGGTGAATGTTTGGCTGATATGATTGCTTTAAGGGAGTCTATCACAGATGCTATTTGTGGCTGTTAATCTACCAAATTTTTCTTTAATAAGATTATAGGTTTATATTCATATGCATTTAATTTTGGTTATTTTTAAAATACCTTAAATTTTTAAAATACCTTAAATACCTTAAACTGATATTGATTCTTTTGTTATTTTCACAGTTATACAAACATGACTTCCAGGATATCAGATATAGACAGAGGGATTTTGTGTTATTGTGGACTATCGTCTCCGTTACTAACGTCACAGAAGGAGCATAACTTTGGGAGACAGTTTTATGGTTGTGCCAGAGGTGTTTCAACTCGTTGCAGTTTCTTCCAGTGGGCTGATAGTCCCACATATTACACTGCTAGTAGTCATGTGAATCCGATGTTTTCTCAGGCTGACAGTGCAGTTGAGGACCGACGTAGCTAGAGTATGAAGTTAAATATTTTAATATTTATCCTTATTGTTGTACTTGTATTTGTACTTTTTTTAGTTCTTCTGATATTCGTTAGGGTGTGAGAACTGTATGATATCTTTTAGAACATTCCTGTCATTATCGTATGTTTCTGCATTATATGTTTCTTTTCTATCAATAAGCTATTCTGAATAAGCTGCCCAAAACAGTTTTATCAGACAGAGACAAGAATGTCATTTAACCGCCAATAAGTTAGTCTGATTAAGCTGACCCAAATAGCAAGTCAGATTATTCTGATAATGATAATCCGCAGATTATAAATAATCCGCCATAAATAGCTAGAGCCTAAGACCATAACGAGACTGCTAATGTGCAAAGCGCTTGATTTTGATCGGACGGTTAGTGAGGCATGACTTCTTCGTTATGTTATCTGAGTTATCTCTCACCTGCATTGTCCAACAATCAAAACTCGAGCAACAAAAATGGCCGCAGAAATCCCCCCATCCCGACTGGCGATCGAAACCCCTGTGATCGTCTCATCTCTCAAACCCCACCTATCCCACACCTCCCCATCCTTCCGCCTCGGATCCCCGAGCCTCAACTCCCTCCGCCTCCGCCGCGTTTTCGACATCTTCAACCGCAACGGAGATGAAGAAATCACCTCCGAAGAGCTCTCATACCATAGAAGAAAGGATATGAAGTACAAATTGAATTTAGCTATGGAGAACAGCAGCTCTCTGTTTACAACAACAAAAAAATATTTTCCCCTACCTAGCAGCATATATAGAGGTAGTGGAGATATCCTTTATGCTGATTAAGGTTTTTGCCATATTATATATACTCTATCAAATCTATGTCTATGTTTATGGATTGTCTACCATGACAGTAAGAGTGAATATTTATGGTTTTCAAAATAAAATACGATGAGAGATATAAATATTGAATCAAGTCACTTTTTTTTTTTTGTTGAAGGACAGGAGGACTACAAATTATTATTATTTTTTACTTTTATTAAATATCAAATAACTTGATTTGATTATTTGTAGGGGTTCGACGGTGATAATTTTTTAAATACTTCTATGTTAAATTTATTTTGAATGTTAACTTAAATTTAAGTTGATTCATCTGCACCATGCTAATAATTCAGCATCACCACCATTTTTAATTTCATTTTATTTATTTTTTGATTTGCCTCACATAATGACATAACATGTAGGTTCCCCCCAACAAAGATCTCATGTATATATAATGATTTAAATGTGCTTGATATGCACAATCTTCAATAATATCCTTTAGATTGATATACTACTCGATCGTCTTGTTGATAGGCTTCATTTACTTGATGAGGAGTCTGTCGAGAGGAGACGACAACTATGTCTGCTTTGTAATAACCATCTTTTAGATTCAAGGTACTATGAGAATACAACATTTAATATATGATATTATTGCTAGAATATTGATGGAGGCTTTTCTCTCTCTATATATTATATAAGTTTGATTTAGATGCTCAGTATTAATTTAGAGTTTACTTGCATTGTCATCATTATTAAAATGTTTCTTCAAGTTGACAATTGTTGTTTAACAATAGGTAGTTTCTAGTTTGTTGCATAAAGTTTATTAGTTGATACAATTGTCAAACCTTTGCTATACAAATTTAATCCTAGATAGTCATGCAATTTTATTGATCATATCCCATGCTATGTCCTTTCTCATTTATTCTTTTGAGATAATGTTTATCTATTAAGTTGAGTGCATATAATAGGCAGATTTTTTATTTAATCTTTTAGCGGATAAAATATGTAATGTTTAGTTACTTGCTTTGATGATGCTATTTGGTATATGAATATTTATGGAGGCCAAGTTATGGATTATTGGATTATGTAGTAAATTGATAAAATGGCTCTTTCTCTGTTGGTTTTCAGACTGGTGTACGACATATAGATGTCAATAATTTAAGTTTGTTTTAATATCGTCAATTACTAGATATAAATATGATCTCGCTAGGTTATGTGACTCCGTTTTAGTTTAGTTTTTTTAGGTTTTTATTGTAGTTTGAGCAAAAATAGTTTTTTTGAAGCATGAGATCAACATTAGAGTACTAGGGAAGCTTGAGTCAGATGTACTTTGGTTTTTTACTCGTATTAGTGGCTTTTGTGATGCTATTGCTAGACTTGTTAGTTTACATATCATATTAATGATTAACCTTATGGTGGACCAAAGTTTGAACGACACCTAAGTAATTACAAAAACAGTAAGCATTTTGTCCAAATTGGCTTATAAGCGAGAAACTGTAAATGAAATTCGTGATTCTCAAGGTAGTTTACGACATGGACTCGAGGAAAAAAATATCAAATTGGTAGGTTTTGGATAATAAAATGTTAGTTCTACAAGTATTGGTTTATTATTTAATTCAATTTGTAGATTGATAAACAAATAATCAAACAACTCTATTTTTGTAAATGAATTTGAACTACTTCTTTGCAAGGAAGAACTCTAAATATTATAATTGGTGAGAAGGGAACCTGTAAACCAGCTTCTTCAACTCTTCTTTTTGCAAATTTTAGTTGCTCTATAGACAATGTGACGCCTGTATATTTGCAGCCTGTTTGCTTCACCACTTCTATGGCAAAACCTCCCCAACCACACCCAATCTCAAGTATTTCATGCTTTGCATCAATGTTTGCCTTGATAATTGTTTTTGAACAGAATACTATTAGAAATAAGGGATTGATGAGGGCAAAACAACCTAAATACTGTAATTCACTAGATAAATGTTGGTGTTGCAAACCTTATCAATTAAAACTGATATTTTACGAAGTTGTGCATCTTCTAAACCTTCATTTGCATTCTATAACATAAAATTTAACCATGGAGATTTTAATAAATTGAATGCATTTATGCGTAATTATGTTGAATACCACCCACAGGCTTACCGAATCAAAAAAATATTGCTCACCTTAAAAATTGGACAAGAGTATTGCATCCTCTCATCTAAGAATAGAGAAAAGAATTCATTGCTCTGTTGAAAATAGAAAGTAGAATTGTGTTAATTCCAAATATGTTAAATATCTAAAAAAAAATTGTTGATATGCATATCCTGTTTAGAAATCATGATTTGCTATTACATTTCGAGAGAGAAATTATTATCCCTTAATTATAAATTATTGTGCTTTTAATTATTTCCTTTTCTTATCATGGGTGCTTTGGTTTTCCCTCCAATTTTATGAGGGTTAGGATGAGCTATATAAATATATATTTGCTTTTTGCTTAATGTGAAAATTAAAGACTTTATTCCTCTCAAGTATCCACACAAATCATAAATGATAAATACCTATGAAGAAGTAAAAATATTATAACTAGCTGATCTAACAAGAAAGTCAAGCTCACTCGATCAAGAACCTAGTAGAAATGAGTAAGATTGAAGAGAGAAAAGACTAGACTACTCAAATTTTATTGAGGCATGCTAAAGTTGACGTTTAATAATTATTTGATAAGACATACCAAAATAATGAAAGCAATTTTGAAAATTCATCATAATCAACTTAGTCTTAGTCTAGCTATTTTGTGTCACTTTTATGTATCATTATCTATTCATTTGGTTGAATGGTGCATGACGTGCTAACTCAGTTTTGTGTATCCCTTTCTTGTAAAATTTCCAACCATTTTTACTTTTTGTTTATCATTTTTCTTGTATATTTTATCTCTATTAAGCCAATTTACACCAATCTTAATTATTGAAATTTACCTCTCCATTGTGCATGTGCACGTCAGTAATTTTTTCACTATCTTAGCTTCAATATATAATACTCTTCCCATCATTTCATACAATCATTATCTTTGCTTTATTATATATTACACTTGTTGTAAGCTCGGTTTTATAGTAATGCTAGCATTACCCTTCGGAGGAGACGAATTGAGCTTTTAAGAGGAGACTAGTGCGAGAGAGAAAGAGAGGGAAAGACTCTAGCAACGAGTGTGTGCATGCTTGCCTTTGTTTGGAAGAGAAGCGATCGGGCCAACATTGAGAGTGGCGAGCAATGGAAAGGGATTTACCTGAGCCGATTGAGCACATGTGTTTGTCCAGGAAAGCAGAAGCATCAATCAAGCGAAGATTTGGCCAACAATGTCTCTTGCCCGGAACACGAGCATACCCGAGGATTGCAAATGCAAGTTATTGATCCGTACGAATAGGGTTGTAAACAAGCCGAGCTTGAGCAAACTCAGGCTTGGCTTGTTTGAAATTATTCTATTCGAAATGGGCTCGTGTTCCAAATTGCTCGTGAACAACGCGTTCGTGTTTGACTCAATTACATATTCTTATTTGTGTTCGGTTCGTGTTCAACTCAAAACTGACTCGTATAAACTAATTAGAAAAAAAATTGTAGGGCGTTGGATTCAAACCTTCACAATTTCTGTGTAATTAAAGACGGAAAACCACGTGACTACAGGAGCTGTGGTGATTTAAACTTAGAGATAAATATATAATATATTGTTATATAAATAAAATATATAATTTTCTTATTTCGAGCTAAAATGAGCCATATCATATCAAACAAAAGGTTGTTCGTGTTATGTTTGTTTATAAGTCAAGCTTAAAAAATTTGTTAGTGCTTGGCTTGCTTAACGAACGATTCGAATACGAGTTATTTGACGAGCCGAACATGAGCTGTTCATGAATAATGAGTTTCTTTTGACAATTTTATGCACGAAGGTGATGAAGCAAGTTGGAGAAGAAGCAAGGAGGAGCAACAATTGACCTATTTGCATGAGAACTAAATGCATCAAAGTCAAATGAATATGTGAGTGGAGAAGGATTGAAATCAGGGCGTGAAATTTAATGATTAGGAGCAACATATGAGAGCTGTGATTGACAACTTTCCGTACTGGTTTGATTGAAAGTGAGAAAGAGGGGATGCAGGCTGTGTACAACAACTAAGGAGGATCACACGAGCAAATGCTGCACAAGTACTAATCTCAAGTCGAACCGATTTTTCAGGGCTATGGAAGGTATATTTGTTTTCTTTAAACCTTATATTTCTAAGATTCATTGTAAAAGCTAAATTATTATAAAAAATGTTGTAAATTAAACTGAGAGTTTTATTAAAACTTTGGATTGTCAAAATTAGGAAGTTCATATTTTTTTTTATAATTATAAATTTGAAATTTAAAATAATTATAATATTTTAAATTATAATTATAAATTTGAAATTTAAGATAATTATAATATTTTAAATTGTATTAAGTTATGAAGAAAGTTGAGATTAAAAAATGAAAGGTTTATTTGAAATTTGAAATTAAAATTTATAATTTTTTAAATTAGAGATGAAATTAATCAGATATTAAATAAAATTTAATTCAAATCATATGTATTAATTTAAGTCGTAGTATTGATGGTTAAATTAAAATGACATGAATACTTAAAATGAAGTATTCAACCAACAATTTAAATACATAATTAATTGATGGATCAATTAAGCATAATTAAATAATATGTTTAAAATTTATTTTTTTTATGATAATTCAAGCATCTAATTAAACGAGACGGAGTTAGAATAAGATTGAAAATCAAGCTAACTAAATAAGATGATACTCTTACTTTTAATTAATGGTAGTATTTTATTTTTTCTAAATCAATTGTATTTATAGTTACTAATACTTGTTAAATTCAATTGCATAATTTTATTGTGATTTATATGCTCTTTTATTTATTAGTCATATCATTATGAATATTAAAAATATTTACTATTAAACACTAATTAAAGATATACTGATTATATTCAATTGAATGATATAGACATATGAATAATATCAACTATATAGACTGCTTGCTTGTGCATGTTGAATATATGAAGTTCATCTCATTATGATATTAGCTGAAGATGCTAAGATGATAAATGCACATCTTAAAAAAATATTTATATGAAAATACTTTAATTGATATACTTAGATAATGCTCGCATAACGAATGTATAAATAAAATATTATAAATAAGAAAATGATATTATGCGATGTAATTAAATGTTCCAAAAATTATTGAATGGTCATAATTAATTAGTGAATTGTTATTGCAGATTTATCTTTGACCGTCTAGCATGCATATTGTTTTCTTATTTGTTATGTTGCTCTAGTTTAGAAGTATGAGAAGTTACTGGCTATTGATAGCTCACCTTTATTTTAAATTAACATTTTATGGTTTAAAATTTGATTAAAATATGAGTAATAGAGGAGAAAACATGTATAGAAGATGAGATCAACAAACAGGAAAGTAAATTTATAATGGTATATAATTTAACTTCTTTTTTGTAGTGATTGTTTCAGTTATTTTAGGATTATTAACTAATAATAATAATAATAATAATAATAATAATAATAATAATTAATTTTACTGTCCAACCGTTTGTTCCCGCATTGGAAATTTTAAGCCCTTAGGCCCAGGCAATGACACTTGCTATCCTTTAATATAATCATTTGTTACTTTTATTTTTAGTTTTATTAGACGTCCATAATAAGGATACCCTTTTTATCACACTACTTGATTACTAATGGCTTCTTTGTTTCTCTGTAGGTCTAAATATATAATTGCAGTTTTATTAACTAGGAGCCTTTTAAGTCTATATATTATTTTCATGACAAAATGTGTTATTGAAACATTCTTGATTTTATCCTTTTTGCTTGAACTGTAGGAGTTACCACCCATTAGCATTCTTTTTATTGATTTAATAATCAATTTGAGGTAGTTACATCTATCATACATAGATCTTATATCTGCTTTAAGCAATTTTCTTTGGTCATTATCAATTTCGCATCCTAAAAAAATCACATTATTTTCTCTCCTTGTTCTACCAAGGATGAGTGCTTTTAGCAAAACCTTATTCCTTCAACTATCTGATATGTAGATAGATATTTGAGTTGAATAGCATGCAATTAAGTTCTTCATCAAAATTGTTAGCCTTATCCAAATCTTTTGTGGTTGGCTTTATTAATCCTCATCTATATTTTGTTTATTGTTGCATGGGATATAAATTCTATTTTAAGTATATCTTTTGGCATAATTTTAATCTCAGCTATCTTTTGTCAATTTTTTTTTCTTTTTAATCCTTAGGCATTACTTTTATTCACCTATTATTAGTGAGTCTTCTAGCTTTTAGTTAGTCTATTTTTAACCATTTTATTTTACTAGATGATTCTCCTATTATCACTCCATTTCATCTTATTTTATCACAGTGAAATGTTTTATGCAGACTAACGCAATATTGCGAAGTAAAAAAAAAAAGGTCTTTTATAAACAGAAAAGGTTATAGCCACGAATTAAAATGTAATTTACCTGATCATAATGTTGAGATATGTTATGGATGGCTTGTGAAATACTATTTTTTGTTGAGATGTGCTGTAGATAGTATTTTGCAGATGCAATCCCTGCTGTGCAAAGCAATGGCGTCCACCAACCTCTACAAGTAGCCATGAAAAGTCTTACATACAAAATTGCTTATTCATAAGAAGTAGATAATCCTCATAGTGAAAGATAAACTTATTTCTTGCACAAACCTTTTGTTTTGCTTGTTGGTGGAAGTATATCTTGATTCATTGTTAGCAATAAGTAGCTAATCAAGAAGAGAATTTCTTTAGTTTAAGAATGGTAACAGGTCGGAGGAAGAACTACAACATGGAAACCAATTTTACCAAAATAAAATCTAAAAGACCGCCTTTTTGATCCACAAAAGAAAAGTAGCCATTAATGTATGCTTCTGCAAGGCCTATATCAGCTTCTGTAGCAATCTGCAATAAATTTTGCTGTTTGTCATGACTTTTTTTTCGTTAATTAGAAAATATCAGTGTAACTAGTTAAACCTTCCAGTAAAATAGTGGACTATGCACTTTAATGATAGATTTCAAACAACTTGGCTTAGTTTCTCCAAAGGAGGAAGCATCCCCTCCATCTTCCAGCAATCTGAAAAATTGAATTCAATTGTTAAGCACAAATAAATATGCAATCCTTTTGTTATTGACCATTGCTCAAAAAAATAAAATAAGAAAATTTAAAAGAATTTAGTATTCATAATAATGTATTAGAGTTCCTTGGGTATGTTATGTGTGTTAATTTCAACAGCTCAAAAGAAAGAAAAAAGAACTTGACATAGATATCATGTCTGAAAACTGGTGCCATTTTCTTAGAATTATAGTCAGATGCTTTTTAACACCGTGCTGTTGCAACAGGAAAATAAGCTTACTAAAATTGCCTGATGGTATGAAGAGAACATAAGTGAGATCACAAATTTTGTAGCAATAGCATTTCACAATGACTTTTTTCAGAGGTTACTATTTTGCCCATGAGGAAGTAATTTTCATATGATTTTATCTTATCTCACTGGTCTTTCATTTCCACAACTATTATTGTCTACACACAAAACATACACGCGCACACACATACACATTGGAGAAGGCACGGAACAAAATAAAGATCTGTGATTCAAACTGTTGCAATTTTAAATTTTAAGGAAAGAACTTGGCATATGAGAGACAAGGAAAAAAGAAAGAAAGATCAACATTAAAACTTTCATGAGGACCAATTCGGTTGCTGGTAATAAAAAGCATATTTTAAAAATGATTAATGTAATAGACGCTATCATTTTATTTAAGTTAATTAGAAATCATCGTTAGTTTGAACTTCCTATATCTCTCTAACGTAATGATTTTATTTTTAGAGGCAAACTAGTAAAAATTCAGTCATTATCAAAAATTTGTTTTCTATGCGACAAAGTAGTGAATGGCCCCGAAGATGCAAACCAATAGGTAAAGCTTAAAAAAAACCAAAGACAATCATACAAGACAAACAACATTGCTGTTAGCGTGCCTCAAAATGATGTATTTACATGCCTTTTTTGCTTTCATTTTGAAGCTTCTCTGGTTGCTTTGTAGATATGAAGCATATCTTAGCACATTTTGATTTTGAATTCACTCATTTGTGTGTGAAGTTAAGGGATTTGAAGGTATTCATAGAGCTTAAAATCAATTTTATTTTTAACATTCAACCAAATGATGCAATCTAATATAATTTGAAACCTGTTCTCAAACTGTTATGTATGGAGCTTGATTGACATGGGGAAGTGACAAGCAAGAACCAGTGCCCGAGAGGGGACTGGGCGTCCCAGCGTCAATAATGGCGCCCCAGTGCTAGCGGGGTGCCTAGGCGCCTAGCCGAATGCTTGATGACTCGTGCATGTGGAAAGTCAACTTCTAGGAGGGGCATAGTGGTGCCCAGGAGCACGTTTTCAACTCTGAAAACTCGACGCTCGAGATAGGTGATCCAACACCAGAAATAATTCAAGCAGTTTAGGCATTTTAGTGTTCGATGCGGGATTTGAAGAGCTCTCTCGACAGTGCATGAATGAAGTAGCATAAAGTGGTGTATGCGAGTTGTGAGTGGTTTTCTGCAATTTTTTCAGTGTGATAGAGAGAGGAGCTTTCCTAAGTACCAGGCTTGTAAAGAGAATTTGAGTGTGGTGTAATATATATATTTCTTCTCATTTCATAGTAAATTTCTTAGTGTGATATGACTTTGTGTTTTTTTACTGTTTTGGGGTTTTTCCACGTTTTTTGTTTGTGCGCTTCTGTTTAATTGTTTGGTTTGGATTATTTGAAAATGTCTTTTTACGTAAATCTAGTGAAGTGAGTATCCTCTCACAACAAGTGGTCTTAGAGGGGGTTTTCTAAAGAATTTTGATTCAAGTGGGAACAATGACCTACGATGCAAAATACAAGGCAGAGATGTTCAACGATTCAAATTTTGCATTCTGGATAATACAAGTTGATTTATTATATGAAAAGAAACAATATTTGTCACCGGAAGGAATCACTAATAAGCATGAATCGATGACTATGAAAGAATGGAAGTTGCTTGATCAAACATCATTAGGTTGCATCCATCTTTAGTTTTCTTATTTGTTGCTTTCAACATTGTGAGTGAGAAAATTATTGTAAATCTCATGGCTACACTAACAAGTTTGTATGAGATGTCTTTAGCCTCAAATAAAGTATTTCTGATGAAGAGATTGTTCAATGTGAAGATGATGAATGGTAGTTCAGTGACGGAACACTTGAATAACTTCAATACTATGACAAATCAGTAGTGTTATGTGGGCATCAAGTTCGATGACGAGGTCAATATATTATTACTCCTATCTTTATTGCCAGATAGTTGGGATATACCATTAATATCAGTAAGCAACTCTTCATATAATATGAAGTTAAATTTTAATGACATTGTGTAGTTTTTGTTGAATGAAGAAGTCTGCGAGAAGGTGAGCGGAGAAACTTCAAATTCTTTATTGCATTTTGAAAACATATGAAGGAATTTGGACAAGAACACAGAAAGAGATAGATTCAAGTTCAGAAGAGGAAAGTTCAGGTCATGAAAAAAAAAGCAGAGGAGAATGTTGATACTGTAGGAAAAGGTGACATGTCATGAAAAAAAAAGCAGAGGAGAATAGTGATGTAGGGAACATATATTTGAGAGATAGCAATGTTTGTAGTATTATAAAAAAGAGTGATTTGATATCAAGTTATCAAATGGATTGGTTTGGAAGCTCTTTGAAGTTTGACATGTTCTATGTTTAAAGAGAAATTTGATCTTAGTGACCCAACTTGCAAGGTCAGAATATGTGGCTATTTTCATATGTAATTCGTGGAAGGCGACCAGAGTGGCAATGGTAATGACTCGGGGCAACATTGAAGGCACTCTTTATCATTTGATTAATGAGATTGTTGAATTCATTGATGTAGCTAGAATGAAGATTGATGCAAGTGTATAACATTGCAAAATTGGCCATATGAGTGAAAAATATATGAAATCCCCACTCTTTAAAGGCAAGCTTCAGAGTTTAAGGTTTATTGAGTGAGATTTTTGTGCATATTGTGTCTATGAAAAGCAAAAGTAGGTTACTTTCTTCAAAAGTGGGTCAAAGGTGATGTCCTAAAAATTTATGTTAGTGCATACTGATCTATGGAGTATTACTCTTGTTCAGTCTATTGGAGGTTCCCACTATTTTTTCATTTTCATTGATGTTCACATCAGAAATGTATGTATATATTTCTTAAAGTATAAATATGTTGTATTTGATGTGTTTAAAAGTGTAAAATCATGGTTGAGAATGAGACACTTAAAGTTGAAGTGTCTCATATTAGATACTAGTGACAAGTATCATGATCAGAGATTCTGGAGTTTTTGTGCTTCAAAAGAAATCAGACATGAATTCACTCTTCCAAGGATACCGCAACAGAATAGTGTGCTTGACTGCATCAATAGAATCACCACAGAGCGTGCCAATCTATGAAGTTGTATGCAGACTTGTCAAAACAGTTATAAGCAGAAACAACTAACATTACTATTTATCTGATCAATCTTGGTCCGTCAATACCGTTGAATGAATGCTTACCTGAAGAAGCCTGGAGCGACAATGAGGGACATTTTTCCGACTTGAGAATATTTGGGTGCTCAACATAAGTTCATATTGATGTTGTAACTCAGATGAACTTGAGTATAAATTTTGGGGTTATCAGAATCAGAAGTTCATCAGGAGCATGGACGTGACTTTCAATTAAATGAAAATGTGTAAGGATAGGAGCAGAACTCAGGATTGTCCATCAATTATTTCAGAAGAGTCCTCCAAATATGTTGAGTTAGAAGATATTGATAATTAAAAGGATGAAAAAAGGAGAGGCGCTCAGTCTGATGATGCACAGGAAGTTCCACAATCACTTGCTACTGAAGTCAAGAGATTTAATAGTCATATGACTTAAACAAATGTATTTTTCTTCTTTATACTATTTTTTGTAGGGATGTCAAAAATTGATCCGACATGCTAAGACAACTTGAACTCGACTCGGAAAATTTGGGTTAGGTTTGACCCAAATATTTTTTGAGTCTGGTTTGGGTCGGAAAATTCGACCCGTTTATTATTCATTTCGGGTTCGAGCTGAACCTGAAAACCTAAACATGAGCCGAATAAGCATGAAAGTTTGGGTCGGGTTCGGGTTAGTAGGTCAAGCTCGGGTTTTGGTCTTAGTTTTTGATTCATTTATTATTCGAGTCGGGTTTCGGTTGACCCTATTCAGGTCGGACCCGAACTTGAATCGCTGACCCGAATTGACACCCTTATTTTTTTTGCTAACTGGCAGTGAACCGAAGTTCTATGAAGCAACCGAAGTTCTAGCGACGTCTTGCAGCGGTGCCCAGGAGAACGTTTTCAACATTCCGGAAACAGACTGTAGAACTTGGCCATTGGTTCAGGCGATCTAGTGCCATAAATAATTCGAGCAGTTTGGACATTGAAGTCCTAAATGCGGAATTTGGAAAATTCTCTCGGCAGTGCGGGAACGAAGTAGCGTGATGCGGTGCATGCGAGTTGTGAGTGGATTTCGTCAATTTTTCTCGTGTGATTGGGAGAGGAGGAGCATTCGTGAGCTCTAGGATTGTGAAGAGGATTTGAGTGTGATATAATTGTATATTTCTCATTTCATAATGAATTTCTTAGTGTGGTGCGGTTTTGTAGTTTTTTTCCTTTCTCGGGTTTTTTCATGTTAAATCTTTGTGTGATATATTTTTGGGTTTCTTATTTGTGCTTTTTTGTTCAATTGTTTTCTTCGGATCTCTCAAATTGGTTTTTTTCCGCAGATCTATGGAGGTGAATATCCTCCCACTACAAGAGACTTCATTCAACCAACCCAATTAGAAACTAAAAGTTGAAAATAGGTTTGGATTTCAAACGGTACATCCAAGTGGTATTTCTACTACTTAATAATCGAATCTAGCGGACATGACCGATTTTTTGAACTTGTTTTCTTACTTCAGGCAACCAAGTGAATCAAAATAGAAAGTTAAAGTTGTAAACAGGTTGGTGTTTCTACTTAAATGAGTACTCTTAACCCAACTACCATTCTAATGCTATTCCTCTATATGGTAAACTAATGTGAATAAAATGAATAAAGCATCTTACATCAAACAACCGGTTGAGATAAAGCGTTGAAGAAATTTGGTAACCACCAGCCTAGCTCCTTTTTCCATCAGAGAAGGTGTCATATGCCTTGTGTTTTTCAGAAGGTTTAAGTCCTTATTATGTATATTCCGTGCAATTACAAATCCAGCCTGAAATGACATAGGGCGCTCGTTAAAAGATAGTGCAATTAGATAATGGAGTGAAATTAGCTCTATGATATGCTCATTTAAGTGTAATGTATACCATGCTATCAAGCAACATTATGATTTATAAGATTACCTGTAGACCATCCTCTTGGAAGCCGTATCCTGTAGAAAACCATGCTAGTGTTTAGTTAACTTAATTTATGAGTAAATAAATGATAACAAAATTTAAAGTCAAAAGGTAGATAATGCAAATTTTTGACTTTAAAATGCTTTGTTTATAGAATTGCACATTCACATTAGCTTCTGCTGAACTGAAACATGGAAAGATTATTTTGTTTCACTTTTATATAAGAAATGTGCTTCGAGAATCTTCAATTTGCACATGTTCATTCTATAAGACTCCATGCGTATTTGGATTGGCTTATTGAACAACTGGTACTTCCATGTTAAAGCATGATAATTTTATTTCATACTGTTGAAATTAAAAATAATGCAGAATTTTTTTATTGATATGAAAGGCGGTTTAAATAACCCTTACTTGAATCATTGCATAGGAAATACAATAAAAAATTAATAGGAAAGGAAAGATATAACATCTGATATCTCCAATTAATCAATTCATATAAATTATTTGAAAATAAAGGAAACAACATAAAATAGGAGAAGAAATAAATCTAATCCAAGAAAATAAATCTAAAATAGAAAATTAAATAAAATTATATTTGGAAATAAATCTAATCCTCATAGCTTCTAATAAGAATAAATTATTTCCTAATATAACTTCTAACACTCCCTCTCAAGTTGAAACATGATTGAAAACAATTTTCAACTTGAATTTGAAAATATCAAACAATGGGCAAGGAAAATTCTGTGAAGTAGAACTTAAAGTTTTCATCCCGTACAACGGTTGTCTTTGATTGTAGTTCCTGTAGTGTCTGCAGGTAGGTAGAAGACTTTCTCAAGTAATGTTGTAGAAGAGTTTGCAGGAAAGTAGATAATTGCGGTTGTTTTTAACTGCAGTTTCTGTAGTGTTTGTAGATAGACATAAGACTTTTACAGGTAATGTTGCAGAGGAGTGCAAGAAAGTAGACAATGATGGTTGTTTTTTACTGCGGTTCCTGTAGTGTTTGTAGTTAACTGGAAGTCTCTTACAGATAATGTTGCAGGAGAGTTTGCAGGGAAGTAGACAACCTGTAGCAAAATTTGACTTCTAGTTGACTGCGGTTGTCGTTTGCTGTAGTTTCTGTAATGTTTGTAGGTAAACGAAAAACTCTTCAAGGTAATGTTGCAGGGGAGTTTGCAGGAAAATAGATAACATGTAGGAAAAAAACTACAGGATAAAGCTTGTCGAAAAAAAAATCGATAAAAGCTTCGGAGGAGGGTATGCTGTAGGAAAATGGTCTACAATGAGGAGGGTCTGTAACATGATACTGCTCTTTGTAGGGTAGATTGCTGATAGATAAGATTTCCGGTGTCAGAGAAAAATGACAACAACCTGCAAGGAGAAAATTGAATGTCACTGCTGTTGCTGGATAAGAGAGTTCCAACAAAGAAGTCCGCAGGGAGAGTTCTGGTGGCAAAGAAAACACAAAGGACCTGCATGATGATATCTGGAAGTAGGGAAGAAATTGACGGAGAAGTGCATGTAGGTCGGCTGCTGGGATTTCATTCAATGATACTGTTGACCTCATTTTAGTGAGGTCTTAGCCTC